TTCTTTTCCGCAGATATGCCACCAGCAGATTATAATTTTGTCAATAATGCTGGCATTCCCTTTTAGTCACCACCTGATTTAGATCTGTATCATTGATGGTATAAATTATACTCTTGTGAGATAACTACCATTCCTCTCTTTAAATAAGATCAGGTTAGCATATGATAATAAAACTTCATTTTGTTTTTTTTTTTCCTTTAAGGCAAAGGCAAGCTTCCCTAAACTTGAATTTATAGTTATTTTAAAAAGGAAAACAAAAACAATAATAAGCCTACACAAAATAAGACACAAAAAAATTTATCCTGGGCAATAAAAGATCTTTTAAACAAAACAAAACAACCACAAAAAACGAGGGGCTATTCATGCTTGGAAAAGTGAGGGGGTCAGGATAAGAAGGATTGATACAGTGACTGCTGCAATGGGCCCAAGTATGCCAAAAATTATGAAGATGGCACAGGACAGGGTTCAGAGAAGTTGTATGGTCGCTATGAAGCATAACAACTGCTCTTTTTACATTGGAGCTCTGGTGGCTTAGTGGTAAGGAGAGAACATTGTCCACCCCAAGATACACAGTTTGACTCCACCAGCTGCTCTGTGGGAGAAAGATGAGCAATCTTATTTATATATTATGTGATTTATTGCCTCTGAAAACCCATTGGAGGGCCAGCTGTGAGTCAATTCTGACTCTGTAGTAGACAGCAACAACTTCTTAATTTGGCCACTCCCACCGAGAGTCCTGTGTTCTGACTAATACAAAGCACTACCCTGTTACACTGCAGACATGTTGCTTAAAACACCTCTCCCCTCCAGAAGTGTGTTTCCTGGCAGATACCCAACACGGGTCCCGAGTTCCCCGGATGGACTGGGCACACCAGCTGGAGCTGGCCCGGGAAGAGTGGGGACAGCAGTTCGCCACCATTGCCCATGTAAGCCTCTCTCCCTGCCCACAGGGGCTGACTTCTGCCTCTTTGTCGCCTCTCTCGACACACACACACACACACACACACACACACACACACACACACACACACACACACACACACACACACAGAGATGGTTTTATTCAGTGACTGCTTATTACATGAGATGCAATGTGTGACGTGGAGTCTCTGGGTCACACAAACAGTTAACACACTCTGTTTCTGACCCCAAGGTTGCAGGTTCAAGTATACCCAGAGGTACTGGGAGGAAAGACTTGGTGATGGATCTGCTTCTGAAACTGAAACCCTGTGGAGCACTGGTCCTCTGTGACACACGAGGGCCACCTGGGGTCAGAGCTGAGCAGAAGGCAACAGTGGAGCTCTGCTGATGCTGGCAGGTGGTGGTGACATGTTGCTAGATGCCTGGCAGAGCTGGGGAGAGCAGCAGGGTATGAGCAAGGATGCAGAGGTAACCTGGCACAGGAACAGCTGAAGCGAGGATCTGATCCAAGACTGTTGTGTTTGAGTGCATAGGGATGACTGGAGGGACTGCAGTTGCTTTCTGATTCTTGAATCCAAAAATTGATTATTGGATTCAATGCCAGGACCAGAACATGTCAGACAACAGTATTGGTTCAGGATAGGGCAGGATTTAGAGCTGTTGTTCATAGGGTCGCTAGGAGTTGTATTCGACCCCATGGCATATGACAACAACAACAACAATCACCAGAGCAAAGATGGGCTGTAAAACATCTTTTGTCACTTGGTAATGGGGTGGCCCTCCCCACCGCCTGCCGCCAGGAGACTCTGGATGAACCCCCCCCCCCCCCCCCGTCTGATCTAGACTCCAAAACCCTGGAAGAGGGTCTGTCTGGATTCTGCAGATGCGTGATTCCTCAGACAGATGTGAGGCCTGCTCTCAGTAGGATCTCAGGAATCTAGAGGTTTGTGCATGGTAGGGGCTCACCTAGCAGCTGGAGTGTCAGGAAGGCCGAATCCCCACTAACTCCTACCTGTAAAGGGAGCTCTGGTGGCCTAGTGGTAAGGAGTTTCGCTACCCACACAAAAGCACCATATCTGCAGGAGAAAAGTGAGCAGTCAACTTCTGTGTGATTTATTGCCTCTGAAAACCCCTTTGGGTTGGTTCTGACTTAACGGTACTTAACAACAACAGCTGTAAAGGTCAGACTGGGTTCTGAGCGCAGGACCACAGACATGTGGCTTCTTTGTGGACAGTAATGCTTAGAAGGATTTTTGTGGCTTAATAGTAAAAGAGCTGCATTGTCAATCCAAAGGTACATAGTTTGAATCTACCAGTTGCTCCAAAGAAGAAAGATGGGCAATCAACTCCCATGAGATTTACTGCCTCTAAAAACCCACTGGAGGGTCAGCTATGGGCTGCTTACAACTTGACAATACATAACAACAACAGTAACTCTTTCATCAGAAAGTATTTCTAGATTTCAAAGTTTTCTACTTCCTACATGATTTATTCTGGTTTGATTAAACTCTTAGTCCTCTGCAATGAACATTTATGTTAAAAGACGAAATGCCTTTGGGTAGCTGAGGGTGGGTTTCTGCACATTGACATCTGGGCACCGAATTGGGCAGCCACCAGGACTCAGGCAGGGCCAGGTCAGGTGGCAAGGTTAACAGACACCTGAGAAGGATGACTCAGGTGTAACAGCCCAGGACAAGTCCAGATGGAAGAAAAGGGTCAAAGGCAAGGGCAGCTGGGGAGGAGAGGAGAGGGCTAGGAATGGAAGCGCCTTGACAGACTCCTGCCCAGATATCTGGCCCAGGGAAGCTGGCCCTTCAGAGGCTTCACCGAGTCCTGGGGCACCAGCTCTCTGCACTGCACTCCTCTGGGTTTCTTGTTGGGCATAGACAGCGCTGGGATAAAAAAAGGTGGGAAGGGGATGAGACCTATCTGGTGGCAGTAAACTCTTCTGTTTCTCCTCCAGGAGCAACAGATGATGAAGACCCTCCCTCACCTCCTCAATGTCAATGAGGACCCCCAGCTGACCGGCGTGCTCAAGTTCTTCATCCACGCGGGTACTCACTCCCTGGAGCCCCCTGACAAGCATGCTCCTCACCACCTACTTCTGGAAGTTCTGAGGTGTCATCAGGTTCTGAGGGTGCCTGCTGGGATTAATGATTACTGTGGTGCCCCTGGGACAGACCATGATGCCTACACTCTCCACTGGCCAACTGAAAGGACAGCACCTTCCCCACAGCTATGTCCCAAGGCTGCTTCTTTCACATTTCACTGGAATCCCACTCAAAGGGTAGAAAATGCAATAGCTGTCTGCAAAGGAAGGTGGTATCCTTTATAAGGGCCATTACGATTGGAAATCCCACTGGGAAACTCCTTCACCTAATGCTGTTGGGGAGAAATGGTATTTCCAGGGCATCTTCATGAGATCAAACCCTGAACAAATGGAAAAGGTATTCTTTCAATTCTTTACAGGTTCATGTAACGCTGGTCAGGCTGCATCAAATGCTATCACTCTTCATGGTCTGGGGTAAGCATCTATGAACTCACATCTCTGTCCAGCATTGTTGTTGTTTTTCGGTGCTCTCAAGTCTAGTACAACTCACAGTAACAATAGACCTGTGAGCAGCAGACCTGAACCCTGCCATCCTGTGCCATCCTCCTCATCTTTGACACACCTGAGTTCATTGCCACAGTCACTGTGTCAGTCCATTTCATTGAGGGACTTCCTCTCTTTCATTGACCTTCCACCTTTCCAAGCAGGATATCCCTTCTCCTAACAACAGACCCAAACTGTACGAGACAAAGCTTCACCATGGCATTGCAACTGCTCTGGCCAGAGGGTCTTCTCAAAAGCCACTGCAAGGCCTGGACAAGCATAAGCGAGCAAGTTACCAGCCCTCCTCATTGGCCTGCCCTGGGGCTTCACTAACAAAATTTCTAAGAAGGGCCCAAGTCAGGGGTTCAAATCCAAAAACCACTTCAAGAGAGGACCATGAGGCCGACTTCTCCTGTAAAGATTTATAGCCTTGGAGACAAGATGGAGGGTTGTCAGGAACCAGGATTAGCTCAGAGCAGCTGGTCCGATTTGTCTTGAGGGTCACTCCTGCTTCCTTCCTCCTGAGAGAAGAGGGAACCTCTGCTGGTGGGCTCCGAATGACAGTTCCTCACAAGGAAATGGTAATAGCTGAAGGACAAGCTCCCTGCAGGAGGCCCTTGTCTTTGAAGGACTTGCTGCTAAGACAAGTTTCTGTTTGGAACCCTCACGGTGGGTGGGTAATGAATAGCTCAGACATTGGGGGTGATCTCCTCCACAGGGATTCCCCCAGAAGTTCCCATAAGACCCTGAGGGTGCAGGTTTCCTAAAACCAGAGTTATTGCCCTCAGTCTGCTAGCATTGGTCCTGCGCTGGGACTCTCTCTCCTCCTCTTAGGGTGACCCTCAGGTTTCCCAGGTGATTAGCTCTTCCAGGCAGAAGTCTTACTGGTTTGTCCCTCATGTTATCCCAGACCCCTTGGGGCTGACGGTGCACAGCCCTGGAGGAGGGCCTGCAATGGGGAGAGTGCTGAGGGAGGGGCCGGCTGGCCTCTCCTCCCCCTCGCTGGGTTAATCTGTGCTGCCTTCATCATTCCCCTTGGACAGGCCCCTGGAACACTTCTCACCTCCCTTTCAGGATCACTTCCCACAGGGACTCTCTAAACACAACACACCTGTATATAAATGGCTGAGCTCCATGCTGAGCTGAATTGAAGACCTTTCCCAAAGGTCGACTTCCAGAACATTCCATGACAACCAAGGAGTCCATTAGCATCCTGAAACAGTTAGATAGCTGGTCATTCAGGACCATGGCAGGAGGGCAGCTGATCTGATACTCTGGCCTCCAGTCCCAAGTCTTATAGGAAATTTTACAGGTAGAGACCCAGATACAGACCTGTTTTCTGTTGGTAAAGCCACAGCCCCAAGATTCTCTCCACAGCTGCCTTTGATTGTTTTGCTTTCATTCTCCCTGCCACCCAATCCTTTCCAAAGACTCTCCCATCGGCTCTATTTTCGGGCATTTGTGACTACACGCACCTTGTTGGTGTTTGTTCCATTACTAAGTAATTTCACCGTATCCTGACTGTGTGCACCTTCAAGGCATGATCCTTCTCTGTCCCTTCTGTACCCACTCTTCTGTCCCACACCCCATGAGCCGCAGCACCACCCCATCGGAGCTCAGAGCCAGCCCTCAGCACCTGCAGAGCTGACCCCATTGTGTAAGGGGGAAGAACAACCTGACCTGCCCGGTAAACTGTCATTTCCTTAGTGACTTACAAATGCTCCTGTCTTCTTAGAATTGCAGAGAGACATGCTTCCTTCGCCAATCTGGATGGTCAAGTCACAGTAACTCCTCACAGCAAATGCAAAGTTTTCATGAATGGGGTGCCCATCACCACAAAGACAAGGCTGCAGCACTTGGTAAACTTTACTGGGATTGAGGGGGGCACAAAATCTGAGCAGCAAGCCAGGAGTCCTGAGGACATGCCACTCGAGACAGCTAAGGGCCATAAGCCCCATGGTGAAGGCTGCTGGGTGCTCACCCCACAAGGTGCCTCTGCCCAGCTCTGTGGGGACCACATGCTCCTTCTTCCCATCACAGAGAGGAGAGACAGCTGTGGGGCTCAGGGGTCTTCTGCTTAACTGGACCATCTCCAATGTACCAGTAACTCTGACCTTGTATGACACTTACAGTGTCTTAAAAACCTGTCATTGAGAGACCTCGGCATACACTGTTCTTCCTACATCCCTCCATTTGCTGATCCAAGTTCCCACCATCTCTGAGGTCCCTACCAAGCCCCCCCCAACTCCCACCTATTCTACACAATGAACTAAATAGAATATTTTAGAAACTCAAATGGTGTTGCATTACTTCCTTTGTAAAATCCCTTGGGACACAATTCCTGCCATGACCTACAGCTTCTGTGTGATTTCCCAGTCCCCCAGTGTCTCTGCATCACTGCCACAGCGCATCCTTCCCCTCGCCCCACTGATTCTCTGCTTGCTCCAGAAATCCCAGGCTCTGTGCTGCATAGCCCTCTCTGCCTTACCAACACTTCATCTTGTTCGATGCCTTTGAATCAACTCTGACTCCTAGCGGCTCTCTGTAGCAATACTTACCACTCTTGCCATTTCAATTTACATATTGTCTCTCCAAAGAGATGCTCTGCTCACCCTCACCCATCTGAGTCTCAATTCTCTAATCTCCAATGTGAATTCAGTCAAGGTTTGAATATCCCACTTGCTCTTCAGAAGAAAGATGTGGCAGTTTCCTTCCATAACTTAAGCCCACTGTCAAATGTGGTTCTATGGGTTCACAACAGCTAATTAAGGACTGGAAGAGAGCACATTGAATGTAACAGCAGGTCACTATGACAGAAAATAAACAGAAGAAAAATAGCAAAGGCCTTTTGCAAGTTTGTGGCACTTGGGAAGCATGAAAAGTGCTTATACACTTTGCACTAAAAGGAAAGCCAAACAGCATCAAAGGGCTCTGATTTTGATAAGGAAATTTGCTAACTACTTCTGCTAGGCTAAAATAAAACCAAGATTTTCTTAAGTGCTGTCCTGTCCAGTATGACTCATAGTGACCCTGTGAACGATAGACCTGAATCCTGTCCAGTCTATGCCATCCTCACCATCTCTGATACACTTGAGCCCGTTTAGCCTTTCATTATTCCATCCATTCATTGCAAAGACAATCCTTATTGCTCAAGATAGCACAAAGTGTTATTTTCAAACTATTCGGGTATATAAAAGAGAAACGAGTTTTCTGCTGTTAAGGTAGGAAACAAGGGCCTCAATGAGATGGACTGACCCAGCAGCTGGAGCAATAGGTTTACAGGTGTCAGAGACTGTGGGGATGGTGCAGGAAAAGATGGGGCTCAGAGCTATTGTTCATAGGGTCGCTGTGGGTTCTACTCCACCGGATGACACCTAACAACAACAACTACTACAAAGGTACTCTAAGGAATACTTTTCTATTACTGTATTGACAGTTGCAATCCCCTTTTTTAAGCTGTGGGTTTCCCAGTCTTGGGAAACAGGCTGATGTTTCTCTCTGGCTGCCTCCCGCTGAGCAGGGACATTGAGAAACAGGGGAACTCACTTGGTTAGCAAGGGGAACACTGTGTGGAGGTTTTCAGAGGTGGAATTGCACAGCGTTATCTTGGATCAGCTCTTCGACATTTTTCACATCTGAGAAAGCAGGCCGCTCAGCCAGCAGGAAGTCCTCGCTCACTTTCACAGTGCCACTGCTCCGAGGACTGCAATTTTTTTTT